GTCCAGTACAAGATTTTTCTAAAAGGGGAGATAATTCAAAAATGAGACTTAACAGAGTAATGTTTTTTTTGCACTGCACTTCTACTCAATGAGATCTATCTACCTACAATGTTTCATCTTAATATCTCTTATAATTTTAGAGTTATGTTCAGGACAAAGTTCAGTGTTAAAATTAACAAAGGGCAAGAACTCCAAAATTAGGACAAAAAGAGTTATTGTTCTTATGCACTGCGCATCTACCCATTGAGATCTATTCACCTACAAAGTTTCATGTTGATATCTCTTATAGTTTTAGAGTTATGACCCGGACAAGATTTTTCTATAAGGGGAGATAATTAAAAAATGAGGCTTAACAGAGTTATGGTTCTTTTGCACTGCACTTCTACTCAATGAGATCTATCTACCTACAATGTTTCATCTTGATATCTCTTATAGTTTTAGAGTTATGTTCCGGACAAAGTTCAAAGTGTTAGTTTAACAAAGGGCAATAACTCCAAAATTAGGACAAAAAGAGTTATTGTTCTTATGCACTGCACATCTACCCACTGAGATCTATTCACCTACAAAGTTTCATGTTGATATCTCTTATAGTTTTAGAGTTATGCCCCGGACAAGATTTTTCTATAAGGGGAGATAATTCAAAAATGAGGCTTAATAGAGTTATGGTTCTTTGACACTGCACTCCCCCTCAATGCCCTCTACCACTGTATGAAGTTTAAACAAATTATCTCCAAGGGTTTTCAAGTTATGCTCCGGACAAGAAAACGGACGGACAGACAGACGGACAAGGCGCCGACTATATGCTCCCCCGAAATTTTTCGGGGAGCCTAAAAATCTTACCAAATAATATATGCATAAATTTAATGAATCATGTAGGCCTCATTAATGACAGCCAAGTTGTTATATTACATAAGACCTTCAAATGTGTATACCAAAAGCATTTTTAGTTTAATATAAAAATATCAAGCAAGGCAACTTGAGTTGTTAAGTAATTATCATCATTAAACCATCATTAAGTACAAGTTCAATATGACATTGACCCCTTGACCCCAAAATCAATAGGGGTCATCTACTGGTCATGACCACTCATCATACCAAGTTTGAAGTTCCTAGGCCTAAGCATTCTTTAGTTATTGATCAGAAACCATTGTTACCTACAAGGTCAACATGACCTTGACCTTTGACCCTTGATCCCAAAATCAATAGGGGTCATCTGCTGGTCATGACCAATCATCATACCAAGTTTGAAGTTTCTAGGCCTAAGCGTTCTTAAGTTATTGATTGGAAACTGTTTTCACCTACAAGGTCAATATGACCCTGACATTTGACCCCTAAATCAATAGGGGTCATCTGCTGGTCATGACCAATCATCATACCAAGTTTTAAGTTCCTAGGCCTAAGCGTTCTTTAGTTATTGATCGGAAACGGTTTTTACCTACAAGGTCAATGTGACCTTGACCTTTGACCCCTTGACCCCAAAATCAATAGGGGTCATCTGCTGGACATGACCAATCACCATACCAAGTTTGAAGTTCCTAGGCATAAGCGTTCTTTAGTTATTGATCGGAAACCATTTTTACTTTCAAGGTCAATGTGACCTTGACCTTTGACCCCTTGACCCCAAAATCAATAGGGGTCATCTGCTGGTCATGACAAATCACCATACCAAGTTTGAAGTTCCTAGGCCTAAGTGTTCTTTAGTTATTGATCGGAAACCATTTGGTCTACGGACCAACGGACCGACAATTGCAAAGCAATATACGCCCTCTTCTTTGAAGTGGGGGCATAATAATATATACATAAATTTTATGAATCACATAGGCCTCATTAATGACAGCCAAGTTGTTATATTACATAAGACCTTCAAATGTGTATACCAAAAGCACATAAAAATATCAACCAAGGCAACTTGAGTTGTTGAGTTATTGGTCAGAAACGGTCATTAAGTACAAGGTCACTATGACATTGACCCCTTGACCCCAAAATCAATAGGGGTCATCTGCTGGTCATGACAAATCATCATGCCAAGTTTGAAGTTCCTAGGACTAAGGGTTCTTTAGTTATTGATCAGAAACCGTTTTAACCTACAAGGTCATGTGACCTTGACCTTTGACCCCAAAATCAATAGGGGTCATCTGCTGGTCATGACCAATCATCATACCAAGTTTGAAATTCCTAGGCCTTAGCGTTCTTTACTTATTGATCAGAAACAGTTTAAACCTACAAGGTCAATGTGACCTTGACCTTCCCCCTTGACCCCAATATCAATAGGGGTCATCTGCTGGTCACGACCAATCATCTTACTAAGTTTGAAGTGCCTAGGCCTAAGGGTTCTTTAGTTATTGATCGGAAACGGTTTTTTTTACCTAAAGATCAATGTGACCTTGACCTTTGACCCCTTGACCCTTAAATCAATAGGGGTCATCTGCTGGTCATGACCAATCATCATACCAAGTTTGAAGTTCCTAGGACTAAGCTTTCTTTAGTTATTGATCGGAAACCGTTTTTACCTACAAGGTCAATGTGAGCTTGACCTTTGACTCCTTGACCCCAAAATCAATAGGGGTCATCTGCTGGTCATGACTAATCATCATACCAAGTTTGAAGTACCTAGGACTAAGTGTTCTTTATTTATTGATCGGAAACTATTTTCACCTACAAGGTCAATGTGACCTTGACCTTTGACCCCTTGACCCAAAAATCAATAGGGGTCATGTGATGGTCATGACCAATCATCATACCAAGACAGTTTGAAGTACCTAGGCCTAAGGGTTCTTAAGTTATTGATCGGAAACGGTTTTTACCTAAAAGGTCAATGTGACCTTGACCTTTGACCCCTTGACCCCAAAATCAATAGGGGTCATCTGCTGGTCATGACCAATCACCATACCAAGTTTGAAGTTCCTAGGCCTAAGGGTTCTTTAGTTATTGATCGGAAACGGTTTTTACCTAAAAGGTCAATGTGACCTTGACCTTTGACCCCTTGATCCCAAAATCAATAGGGGTCATGTGCTGGTCATGACTAATCTTGATACCAAGGGCCTAAGCGTTCTTTATTTATTGATTGGAAACCGTTTTAACATACAAGGTGAATGTGATCTTGACCTTTGACCCCTTGACCCCAAAATCAATAGGGGTCATCTACTAGTCATGACCAATCACCATGCCAAGTTTGAAGTTCCTAGACCTAAGGGTTCTTTAGTTATTGATCGGAAACAGTTTTTACCTCAAAGGTCAATGTGACCTCTACCTTTGACCCCTTGACCCCAAAATCAATAGGGGTCATCTGCTGGTCATGACCAATCACCATACCAAGTTTGAAGTTCCTAGGCCTAAGGGTTCTTTAGTTATTAATTGGAAACCGTTTTTACCTACAAGGTCAATGTGACCTTGACCTTTGACCCCTTGACCCCAAAATCAATAGGGGTCATCTGCTGGTCATGACCAATCACCATATCAAGTTTGAAGTTCCTAGACCTAAGCGTTCTTTAGTTATTGATCGGAAAACGTTTTAACATACAAGGTCAATGTGACCTTGACCTTTGACCCCTTGACCTCAAAATCAATAGGGGTCATCTACTGGTCATGACCAATCACCATACCAAGTTTGAAGTTCCTAGGCCTAAGGGTTCTTTAGTTATCACTCGGAAACCATTTGGTCTACGGACCGACAGACCGACAAGTGCAAAGCAATATACCCCCTCTTCTTCGAAGTGGGGGCATAATAACTCTAAAATTACTAAATATATCCACATGAAAATACCCAGGTGCACAACTTCACATGCTGATCAACATTCCTGTAAGGTTTTAAGACTCTATGTCAATTACTTTTTGAGCTACATGCGACACAAAAAGGGAACGGACGGACGGACAAGGGTAAATCTAAATGCCCCGCCTATAGTGGGGGCACAAAAAAAGTAGCCCTTCTCGGGGTTTGAACCCAAGCCCTTCAGTTTCAATGCAGTTGACAGTTATTTTAGCCTTTTTAAATACTCTTCAAAGTGGAGGTAATGCATTAGGGGTATACTACTATATTAGGGGAGGCTTCATGCCAAATATCAAATTTCACGTGGTAAGACTCAAACAAGTTTTCCTATTGCAGTCTATATAAAATATGTGAACCCGGGAATAGGACAATATTGACCAAAGAGGCATGTTTAAAAGTTTTGTAGAGGCAAACAAGGCAGTGCTACTGCTACATGTCAAATATATCAGTTCTGTGCATTGTTGTTTAAGACTAAAATGTGTTTTCCTATACAAAACTATGTTATGTGACCCTAGGTCAGGACCAATGACACAAGGGGCATAATATAATAAATATCAGTTATGTTGTGGTCAACAAAGTTTTGTTACATGCCAAATATCTAGGCTCTGGGCATTGAAGTCTTACACAAAATGTCTGAAGTGTGTTTTTCCTAAGTCTATATAAATCAATTGGTAGGGCCACGATTCCTATCAGTTTTTCTTTTTAAGTCAATAAGGCAATACTACATGCTAAATATCTAAACTCAAGCATTGTAATTTTACAAAATGAAACTAAATGTGTTTCCCTATATAAATCAAGTTATCCCTGGGTCAGGGCCAATTTTGATCTCAGGAAGCCCAAACCTGTGTTCTTCACATTGTCCTATTATAAGTAATATTTCATCAAAAAAGTTTTGATTTCTTTCTGTCTGTTCAAATGGTTTAAAGCTAAGAAATTTTGAAATTCATACAAAAATGACTAAGTGTAACCTTGACCTGAGGATGGGCAAACACTCACTCAGCACATTGTCTCATTAGGGGTAACATGTCTGACAACTAGTTTTAATTTCCTTCCACCAGTTCAAAAGATACAGACCGGAAAAAAAAAATGCTATAACCAGATACATAACAATATACACCAACATTTGTTAAGGCATATAAAAATTGACAATGGAAAGCTTTATTTTCAAAGCTATAAGATCCATAGCCAAATCAAAATTCATTACATGGAGATAACAAGAAAATGTTTAATTTACCCTGTAAGTAGGATTTGAGCTGTGAATCAGCTTGCCAACAGACACTGCTTCCTTCTCCAGTTTCTTGGGTAAATGTTCTAAAATAGTACCATCCCCACAGCTGTATAAATGGTAGCCGTATGTAGATACATTCAGCTCAGCTGTAATAGTAATATCATTTACATGGTGTAACCATTAATTAACAATGATTCCTTCTAAAAAAGTATATTTTGTACATATAAAGTAAACAATTTCACATCAGTCTGTTTGGACCACAATCATAAATAGATAATATTTGCTCCTTATATGTACCATAAGAAACAAGAGCCATGTTAACATGGCCATCCCCCGCCGAATGTGTTTGCTCATTGGAAGAATGTATATATAGTAGAGCAGAATAATTCAATTTTAAGAGGTCTTTTGGTAATGCAAACTGATGGCTGAAGTGACTTCAGATTTGAATTATGAAAATAACAAAGGGCAATAACTGAGAAATAATGCAGGGTAGGTTATCATTCTTGTTTTCTGCACTCCTCAATGAGATCTATCCACCTATGAAGTTTCAAGTTGATACCTCTTTTTGAGATAAGCTCCGGACAAAAAGTATGAAAAATAACACAGGGCAATAAGTCAACAAGAGCCACTGCTCAATAATTTGACCTTCAAAGTCAAGGTCATTTATGAGTGAAGGTCAAGGTCTGTTTGGTTATTTTTCAGGGCTATCCTTGAAGATTATTATGTTCAAGTTTGAAGACAATCCATTCAAAAATAACCAAGTTACAGACAAAAATAGCAAGAATAATCAAAATTTGGACTTTTGACCTTGAAGGTCAAGGTCATTTATGAATGAAGGTCAAGGTTAGTGTTGTCTACTGAAAGGTCTTGTCCCAAGGGTTGTTGTGACCAAGTATGAAAACAATACACCAAGAACTAAACAAGAACTGTCACAGAATGTGAAAATGCCCCCGAAGGATTCTAGTTATAAACCACCTATTACATGTTAATTGTGGTGGTAAAAATTGACAAAGTTCGAACCCCAGCAGTGACCTTTAAGTGAGACAAAGAAACCTGGGTCTTGTTCACAACACATTGTCCATCAATGGTGACTTTATTTTTTTTAAATAAAAATTGAAACTTTCATGTATATGGAAGTTACAGTGCGGACACAACAACCACCATTTATATGTATATAACATAAATATTGAAAAAGTTTAAACCTCAGCAGTGACCCTGAACTAAGGCGTAGTCTTAAGGGCAACACATCAAACATTTATGATAATATCATATGTGAAATAAAACAAGATTGCATTTGAGAAAAATGCTATGCCACCGCATTAATCCTTGTACCTTCAGACAATAAGATTTTTTGATTTTTTTACTATATGTTGATATTGAAAATCATAGACCCCCGGGGCAAAGGCAATTTTGACCCCATGGCTATAATTTAAACAATCTTGCTAGAAGTTCATTTCATAATGTTTCATGCAAAATATCTAACCTCTAGCATTTGTCAATTACTAGAAGAAATTTTTTTAAAGTTTTAACTACAAGTCATGTTTAAGTATTTACTATATACATATAAGGAAAACCAATGACCCCGGGGCGGGGCCGATTCTGATCCTAGAGCTATAATTTGAATAACCTTGGTAGAGGTCTACCAGACAATGCCTTATGCAAAATATCTAAGCTCTAGGCCTTTTGGGTCTTTACAAGAAGGTATTTTAAGTTTTTACTATATGTACATATAGTGAAAATCAATGACCCCCGGGGCGGGGCCGATTTTGACCCCAGGGCTATAATTTGAACAATCATGGTAAGGGTCTACCAGACAATGCCTTATGCAAAATGTCTAAGCTCTAGGCCTTTTGGGTCTTTACAAGAAGGTATTTTAAGGTTTTGCTATATGTACATATAGTGAAAATCAATGACCCCCGGGGCGGGGCCGATTTTGACCCCAGGGCTATAATTTGAACAATCTTGGTAGAGGTCTACCAGACAATGCCTTATGCAAAATATCTAAGCTCTAGGCCTTTTGGTTCTTTACAAGAAGATTTTTTAAATTTATTCTTATAATTCCTTTTGGTTGCCATGGCAACCAGATTTCTGCATGGAATGAAATTCTTTCAACAACTTTGGAAGCCCTTCACCCAAGGATCAATCCTGCCAAGTTTGGTTGAAATTGGACTAGTGGTTTTTCACAAGAAGATTTTTTAAGTTCACTATATAATCTATATAACACACACACACACAAACAAACACACACACAGGTGAATCGCTATATGCCACCGCATCGCAGATGCTGCGGTGGCATAAAAATATAATCCTTTCATGCATATTACTTTCAGAGCAGACACAACCATCTCTGCCTGTATGTATATTAACATCAAAATTGACAAAGTTTGAACCTCCATAACGACCTTGACCTTAGTTGTAGAAACCTGAGTCTTGTTCGCGACACACCATACATCTATGGTTATTTCATATATGAAAGAAAAATTACAATCCTTCCATGCATACTGAAGTTTCAGAGTGGACACAACCACCACCTTCTATTTTTACAACATAAAAAATAGTAAAGTTTGAACCCACACAGTGACCTTGACCTTAGTGGTAGAAACCCGAGTCTTGTTCGTGACACACCATACATCTATGGTTATTTCATATGTGAAAGAAAAATTAAAATCCTTCCATGCATACTAAAGTTTCAGAGCGGACACGACCACCACTGTCTATATGTATAAAGCAGGACAGACTGACGAACAGACGGACTGACAGACAGTTTGATTTTAATATGCCACCCTTAGGGGGCATAAAAAGTTATGATCCAGGTACAAGTTTGCGGATGGCAACGGCAACAGCAACGCCACCAGGACTATAACAATACCTTCACTATTTTTTTTTTCAAAAAAAAAGAAGAAAAAAAGTCTAGCTTAAAATTATAAAGGGTAGAGTTATCATTCTTGCACACAGCATTTTTCTCAATAAGATAAATCCACCTATGAAGCTTCATGCTGACATCTCAAAGACTTTTCGAGTTATGCTCCGCTCAGGTGAAAAATTAAGTATAAAACTAACAAAGGGCAATAACTCAAAAATTATCAAGGGTAGAGTTATCATTCTTTTGCACTGCACACCTCCTGAGTGAGATATATCCACCTATGAAGTTTCATGTTGATATCTCAAAGGCTTTTGAGTTATGCTCTGAACAAAAATTAAGTTTGAAAGATAACAAAGGGCAATAACTGAAAAATTATGCAGGGTAGAGTTATCACTTTTGTGCACTGCACTCTTCCTCAATATGATCTATCCATCTATGAAGTTTCAAGTTGATACTACAAATATTTTTTGAGATATGCTCAAGACAAAAATGTGGGACGGAAGGACGGACAGATGGAGACTAAGTTATATTTTGAGTTTCAAGTGAATAACTTATATAGTAAATACTTTATGAGTTACTGTCTGGACTAAAAATAGGCATCAAAAAATAACCAAGGGCAATAACTGAGAAATGATGCAAAGCAGCATTATCATTCTTGTGTGCTGCAGTCCTCAATAAGATCTATCCACCTATGAAATTTCAAGTTGATATCTGTAATACTTTTTGAGATAAGCTTCCAACAAAAAGTATGAAATACAAGAATTTGTAACAAAGTTACCAATGTCCCCCGCCTTAGGGAAGTATTATATGAAGCATAAAATTGTGCTATTTCAAAAGATTGAGGTATGGATCAGGACTTTTAGTCCAAAATTTTGATCCATGCTAATCTGCAAATGCAACAATAAATTCATTTAATAATGAACTCCTAATTCGTCACCTTGGAGCAAAAAAGACATGTAACTGATATTTTTTGAGAAAATCACTTTTTGTCATTACACTTCAGCCTCATTAAAACGCTCATGTTGGGGTCCAATGTCTCAATACGGCGTTCTAACGAGGCTCTCATTAGAACGCTCATTGCGAAATTACCGCATTACCCCACCCACCACATATATGTATAAAGCCAATTTTTTTTTTACTTACTGTTCAATGAATATCGATATTATCTTTTTCTAAAACCATTCAATGATGTAAACATATATTATATTCACAAATAATACTAATTATATTTATAAAAAGAAAGGAAAAACTTTCGAAAGAAAATTATAAATCATGAATGTAGCCATTACTGTAATGGCGTTAAGATTAATTAGGGGACACAACTTAAGCTGGACTGTAAATTACATTGTAATTTATTAAACTGATATTTTTTATATTTATGATAATACAATCATTTTTCTATCCGGCGACTTGATGCTTTAGCATCAAAACCTCTACTTGTTCTCACATGTTTCGCTTAACAAGTGTCATGTCGTGTGCTCAACAATTTACATCTTATATAATATGTCAGTAGGTATTACATGCTACGTCATCAAAACGACCTTGTTAATTGACATGAATGAAATCAGCGCTGCCTTTGATTTTCTTTGATTAGTGCCGTACTAATAAAGGCTGGCAGAATTATTTAAACTGGATCATTCAAAAAATGTTTAAGATGTGGGAAAACTATATCTAATTAACCTATTTTTAAATAAGTCGGTAATGTTTTGTTTCGTTTAGGAATAACACAATCCTTGAGGCAAAAATGTGGATTTGATTCTTTAACAGAACAATTCTTGCATTTATTTTGAGTCTTATTCTTCTTACGTTAACTGTAAAGAGTCTTATGTTTATGAATAGTTATTGCACGTTTTCAAATAGCTTGAGTTTTAATAGCTTGTGTTTTAAATTTTAGCCAATTATTGTATGACTTAAAAGACAGATATATAATTATGCAAACTGAAAATAATGAAATGTGAAAATGTGACTGTTCTAGAAAAAATCTATATGACAACATGTATATAATTATTGTTTTATGATTTTTTTTTTTTTTTTTTTTTTATGATATTTTTTTTTTTTTGGTGAACTAAATTAATATTGATCAACAAAAAGATCATAAAAATATGATCATTTAATGATTTTGAGGGTAATATAGATTCTTTGAACCAATCTATCTATCAAGTCGATAAAAAAATCCAGTTTTGAGCCTCAAAATCCAGCTGAAAATCCAGTTTTGACTCATTTCATTTGTCACATGTATGGAGGCTTAGTGCTACATTTAGAACGAAACTGTTGCTAATAATT